TCATCAGGGCAGCTCTGATCTTCACCTTGAGCATCGCTTCCTGGCTCCAATGTGGATCCCTCAGCTTGATGGCACAAATCCTTCATCTCACCGGCGTAGGTTTTCTGGCTTCCACCACTGGCCTTTGGCCTTCCAGGTGCAGATCCTCAATACAGACAAGCATGAGACATTGCCGTGGGCTCTAGGCCACTGGCTGGACTCGTGGAGGATATTGCCTTGGACTCTAAGCCTTTAGGTGAACTTGTGTGACAAACTGCTAGGATCCAGGCCCTCGGGTGGATTCTTTGGGCCCTAGTGTGTGGTGAATCTCTTACACTCCATTGCATTTGACTTTTTGGGTAATTATCATAAAATAATCCTATAAACTATGTGTCCTGTAGTAAATGTATTCCCTTGCCAAAACCCTGACTACAACAAAAAGATACCATCCTTAAATAGTCCCTCATTATTCTAACATACAATAACACAAGAAACTCACAGGGAACTCTCTCCCCACAGTGACCCAATGATGAATTAGATGGCTTAAAAACACATAACAATATTTCTTGTAGTACAGGTAAGTATTGACCAGTTAAGCTTTTGCTTTCTATTTTTACATGGAGAATTAATTTTTTTACCTTTTTTCATTGATGACTAAACTGAGTTCTTACATTTTGTGTAACAGGACTTATATCTAAATAGCAATATGCATTATCCTGGGGGGATCTTTTATAATATAAATCACGAGTATAAATCCATAGAGGATGTAAGTATTGAGTAATGAACACATTCAAGTAATATTTTTGAGAACAAGAAAATTTTAAATACTAATCATACTTTCTTAACCTAAATAAGGTTTTAAAATGATAATAATTTTACCTGAACTTTCAGGTAGATGATGGGCAAAATGTGTAATATAAACTTCGATGAAAGTAATGTGGAAAATTCCACTCCACATAACTGACAGAATTGTTCACTTAAGAGTACATATTTGACACCTCTCTTTTTTGAGATAAGGTCTCACTATTTAGCCTACGCTAACCTTAAACTTGTGATCTTCCTGCTTTAGCCTCCTTAGTATTGGGATTACAAGCATGTACCACCACACCGGGACATATTTGACATATTAATAGCTTGAAAGTAAATATATGTAGACTTTACACAATGGACAAAATGTCATTAAAACTAGTTTTTATGTTCTAGTTTCATAAATATTTACTGAGTTCTTAATCTAGGCAAAGGATCTGAGGTAGGTCAAAGGGTATAACGGTATGTCATGAATATGAATTAGAATGAATAGTTTCAAAGGGTTAAAATTACACCCAGTTTTTTATTGTATACACCTCTAGCACTGCCTCTATTTAATAGGAATTTAGTAAGACTTCTGCTAAGATTAGGGCCATAGTAGAAGGCTGTAATGCTAGTACAATTATTTTACATAAATGAAAATGTTATTTATAAATATTGGGGGCAAACAACGTTAATAGGTGTAGATCATGTTTTAGACACAGATTTTCTACAATCTTAATATTAGAGAGCTACTGTTCCAGAATTGTATTATCTGTCCAGGATAAGAGTTCAATCACAGAATCCAACACCATTACTGAGATGTAGTTGTTTCTATAGGATAAAATTACTTAACAGAAGAATATACAAGTATTATCATTCTTGGAATTTTTATATGAAAACTGCCATAAATTTGGTTTTTTCAGACAAAGAACCACTTTTAACAGGGGTTCAACTGGGCTTTTCTTAATTATATTGCCCTCCTGCAATGCATTGTTTAAAGGAAAAAGAAAAAGAACAAGAAAATTAACTGACACACTACTTAAAAATAATGATTTTCCATTCAGACAAACTGAAATGTGCTCATCTTTTAAGATGCTAATGTTGATTTATAAATTGATATTATTTATTTCACACATAATCAAGTGTATAGAGAAAGGTAGTATTTATAGGAATAGTAGCAGTATCCAGACATTCAGGAGAGGTCCTGATGTAATAGGGTGGGTCAGTTAATTGAGAAATCTCATAGTAGAGAACAATAGAGAAAAAAGAGACACCTTAAATATTTGAACATAAGGATGTAAAAATACATTTATTTGTCTGTCTTTTCACCCAAGGCAAGATCTTCTCCTCAAGTATAGTCACTAGTTACAGCTTCAAGTTATCATGCTTGCATCAACCAGACGTATGACAATGAGCAGTTCTGGTTTCCTTAAAGTAGGTTGAAAGTTTGAACAGTCTCATGAAACAGTCCAATTTCAACATCTGCTCAAATTGTTATGAATTTTTTATTCCTCCCAATCAACCAGCTACATTTTTGCTCCAACATCGAACCAGTCATCCCAAGATTTCTGTTTTATATCTATAATCATATTTTATTGTTTTACATAATATTTTATTTAATATGTATTTATAGTCATAACCAGAATGGCAAAAAAGGGTTAGAAATAAAAAAAAAACTGACTATTAAGAGGCATATAAAGTCTAAGCAGCGGGGGTGCCCCAAGAACATTTCCATCTTACTAGGTGTGAACCCAGAAATGCTCTGGGTCAGTAAGTAGGCTGTATAAAGGTGTGGGGAGGGAAAAGGGTTTGGCAGACCAGGTACATGGGAGTTGGTTAGGTGTTAGGGTTTAGATCTAAAATATCACCCCAAAGTTTCCTGTATTCAGAGGTGAGGCCTGGTTAGGTATTATTGAGTATTTTGTCCCAGTGACAGGAAAGTGACTAAAGCAGTTAGGAAAGTTTCTGTTGAATGTCAATTCTTGCTGATACCAATACTCATATAAAAGGAATATTAGGTGATATTCACCTCCCTAAACACCTAGAGAAAAGCTTATTGTTGAAAGACCAGTTTGCCTCAAATTCACAAACCTATTATTTTAAATCTACCTTCATATACTTTTCATTAGAATGTGGACAGTTTTTGAAACTTCTGGCAATTTGTTAGTAAAAGAGTACATTTTGTTCAAATTCCTATGAAGGGTTTGAAACAGACCTGGGATTAGGGTGTAGTTCAATAGTGGAGCACTTGTCTAGACGTGTAAAGACCTGGCTTTGACCTCTAGCACTGCAAAAATGATTTTTAAAAATTCCACATGTAATTAAATGTGTCATAGATTCTCTTAGTAATTAAATGTTGTGGTGTCAATATCTATTACCTAATGTCAATTATCACTATCATCAGAGTCCTAAAACACTTCTCGGAGGTGTAATTTTTTTCTTTCGACTTGAGATTGAAGCCAGGGCCTTTGCACTAAGCACCTTTCTTAATTTTAATTTTGAGACAGAGTCTTCCTAAATCCCTAAGGCAGCCTCCCATAATGCTGGGACTACAGCATGTGGTGTGGTAACACCGGGCCGGACTATGATCTTTCAACTCACTTTCTTTTTGTATCTTGGCATTTTCTTCTTCAAGTCTTAGGCCCTTTCTCTGAAGCTGAAGTACACCAGAGCTTATCTCACTGCAGTCTCACTGATGTTCTGCATAGCACCACAGTGACTGTAGACCTATATTCTTTTCCAACATCCGTGAAAAACATTGTCCAGTTTATTTTAGCAAACCTTGGTTAGACTTTCCCAATGATGCTCTTAATGGTTCTATGACTACTACCCAACTCAAACCTTTTTGTTGATAGCACAAAACAGTTTGAAGTGGTTCTGTTGAATTCAAGCCTTTATATCTTAATTACGATCTTGCTGTTATCCCCAGGAAAAGTATCAATAATTACTTTGTGTGCTTCACTTTTAGATTACTTTTAAAAGCAGTTTCACTTAATTGTAACATTGCTCTCAGCAGAAAAGTGCCAGTTGCTTAAATTTTGCTGTCAACACTTGAGGGACTGTCCTTGCATGGATTCATATTCACAACCAATTGTCAGCGTTTAGCGTACCTGTATAACCAACCACAGGCAAATTCTAGAGATGCTATGACCTCTAAGGAAACCATAAATGTCAGGCTTAAAATTTGCTTAGCAGTAGATTCTCAAAAGTTCTACATACTTGCAATTTTTAGGTGGTTAATCTTAAAACCCACTTAAAACCAATGCATTTTAACTATGCAGTAAGTGAGCTGCATTTAAGTGGTTTTATACGAATATTCTAACATTAAAGAATGCTTCTGTACATCTTAATGTGGATTTTTATGATTGAAGATAAATTTATGAATAACACATTTAAATTTAGTAAGTACTCACTATCTTTATTGATAAGATCACTGACATTGAAGAAGGTACTTATGTTAAATATGTCTGTATAGTACATTTGGAAGGTGTTTACTGACTCAAGGATTATATATGGTACACCTACTGATCATCTCGGTGTAATCTTTAAATCGACTAGACTGTGCCAAGCAATTCCTTCCCCTTCAACTTCCGAGAGGAGGGCAGGGTTGAATAATCCTTGTGAGAGAAGTATAGTGTGTTTTCTTTTATTATAAAAGCCTAGATCAAGGTAGGTTTTTCAGCTTCATAGAGGGTGCTGCATTCCAGCAGGCAGAGCAAAGAGAAAATCTATATATAAGTGTTTCGATAGTGACAGAGGTCAGCAGAATAAAAAGCCAAGTAAAATCCCTCTGTTCTCTGCCCAACCCCTGCCTGGTCTAATAGGCAAGGAGAGGCGATTTACAGCTACAGGCTCTGTCTACGTACGTGTCGTGGTAAAGTTACAGGTCTGTTTTGAAATGGCTTAAGCTCTTTTCCTTTGTTAATCATCTCAGAGTGGGGAAGAATAGTGTCACTGTGGATTTATTTTGGCCACACGTAGAGATACAAAGGGAGATTTCACTTAAATATTCACATGGTACTCAGTACCCTTTTCTGCGTGGAAAGCAACTCGCACCCTCCTGGAGTTTTGGGAAACCACCAAACCACCGGAGGATCGGGATACCACAGAAGGCAAGTCAGGGCCACTGCCCGCCTAGAGCGCAGAGCCGGAGGCCCCGCCCACAGGCCCGCCCTCCCCGCCCAGAGGGAGGAGCGTGCCTCGCCCCGCCCCCGGCGTAACCCGGATACACACTCACGCTCCCCTTTCACCTCGCGGCTCGTGGCTACCGTAGAAGTCGGACCTGTCGCTGGGGGAGCAGGGCGGTGACGGTGGTGGTGGAGGCCGGCTGGGCCTCTCCTGGGAGCAGGGAGGGATGGGGTGCGAGGGCGCCGGGCAGAGGGCGTCCGTGTAGCCCGCGCAGCGCCTGGCCTGGAGCGCGGCGGCGGCGGCGGTTGCGCGGAGGCCTGTGAGTCCGCCGCCCCCAGCGCCTGGCCTCCCGCGCCATGGCCCCCATGGGCATCCGCTTGTCCCCCCTGGGGGTGGCCGTGTTCTGCCTGCTGGGGCTCGGCGTGCTCTACCACCTCTACTCCGGCTTCCTGGCCGGCCGCTTCAGCCTCTTCGGCCTGGGCGGCGAGCCGGGCGGCGGCGCGGTGGGGCCCGTGGCTGCGGCGGACGGGGGCGCCGTGGACCTGCGCGAGATGCTGGCCGTGTCGGTGCTGGCGGCCATCCGCGGCGGCGGTGAGGTGAGGCGCGTCCGCGAGAGCAACGTCCTCCACGAGAAGACCAAGGGCAAGACGCGTGAGGGAGCGGACGACAAGATGACCCGCGGCGACGTGCTGTCCAACCGAAAGATGTTCTACCTGCTCAAGACGGCCTTCCCCAGCGTCCAGGTGGGTGCCGCGGCGGGAGGAGCCGGGCGCGGGGCTCCGCGCGGGCCCCCTGGAGCGCCGGGCCCTGGAACTTCTGCCCCCCTTTTGCAGAGGGTAAAATTGAGACGCCTCAGCTAAAATACGCAACGGCATGCAAACAGGCCTGGGAAGGGCCCGGTGAGGTTGCCGGTGATCTGACCGCGGGCCCTGCCCTGCTGGCCACCTGCCTGCTGTGCGTGTGTGAGATGTACCTGAGATGAGGAGACCTGTGTTCCGAATGGGCTTTGGTAACAGAAGGCTGAGAAAGTGAATTCCAGGGCTGCTTCATGTTCCCCTGGAAATGAAAAGCTTGAACTAGAGCCCCGCAGGCCTCTGTTTGTTCTTCCTCGATGTCATTACTGGAAGGTTCGTGCTTGTAGAGGACACGTTTTCTGCCAGACCAATTAAAAAGCCAAGGACTGCAGAAGTCTGTTGCAGATCTGTTAATGTGCAAGCCGTTGAGGAACGGGGCTATGCTCGTAAATCTGTTCAGCCGCCGTTAAGACCTTAGTGGCATATGGTTTGGGGCCCTTCAAGGAAGCGTTTGGAAATGCGCTTGCCCGCAGCTTCATTTTAGCGGTGGAGCCTACGTGGCACTTGATTGAAGGCCCATATTTACCCCAGAGAATAAGAATTTAGTAACCTTTACCTTTTCTTTGGGTAGATTTCTGGAGGAGTTGACATTTTCTCAAGGAAATCCAGACATTTTGGGTTGTTATTAATACTTTTGGAATTCATCCTTTCAATGGAACTGGTGTTGAATTTGAATATACTGTAAAGCTCTTTTGAATTTATTGTAGCTCCAGAGGGAGAGCTCAACGTAGTAGAGCAATATCTTACTAATTTTTCTCATCTAACAGTAGGTTTTGGCAACTAGAAAAACTTTTTCCAGTGGAATTTTGTTAATTAGATAAATAGTGACAATTAAACCCAGGTTTCTTTGTGAGATTTCTGACCTTTTACTATTGTTTTTAGAACAGTTAGGCAAGTATTGTCATTGTAAAATTATGTAACTTACGTAACTTAGCTTCAGGTCTTCTAACCTCTCTTCCTTTCTCCTTTCCCTCAGTCCTCCTTCTCTTTCTTCTGTCCCCCTTCCCTTTCACCTTCCCTCCCTCTCTTTTTTGCTTCCTCCCTTCCACTCTTTCTGTCTTTTCCTTTACTTTTTCCCATGAAACACTGGATTTCATGGGCAGTTGGGTACTAGAATTTTTTTAAATATTTACTGAAAACATTGAATATTTTCACTTTTGATCTACCTTACTTTATCATCACACATAATACCTTTGTTTGCACCTAGATGTAAGCTATGCTTGTGAAATATCTGTCTTCTTCAAAACACATGTGCTTTCCTGAGAGCTTATAGAAGAAACAGTTTCAGAGAAGTTGATGTGTTGTAGTTATAATAGTATTTACAGTAACCACTTATTGACTGTCTTCTGGTTGCTCAAGTACTAGCCACAATAGGACTTCGTTTGATCCTCACAGCATCTTTAAGAAGTAAATTTTAATTTATGTCCACTTTACAGATGGAAATCTGAGTCTCATAATACTTCACAGCTTGTGTGAACTATCTAACTCTTCATTTTAGCTAGACCTTTAACAACCTCTTAAAATTAACTATGACTTTCTTAAGGAAAAAATATATAACTATAGAGGCTTAACAGCAAGAACAGTGAAGGAGAATTGGAAATTTTTTTAACAGGTAAAATCAGAAGTATCTTAAATATTGAAAACATACCTACATTTTTATTTACTGGCAAATAATAAAGGAATTAGCCACCAAGAGTAGTGAGGGGTGTTTTATTAAATACAAAAGCTAGGTTAGATTTGTAGATGTGACTGCCTTATTAGAAAATAACTTTTTATTTTCTTGTGGCTGAATGATTGCCTACACATCTTTAGTTTTCAGGTTCAGTGTTGATTGGTGGAATCGAACAGCTTGTTGTCATTTATACAGTGTCATAGTAGGGGTGGTGTCAGTTTATACCTGTTTTATTAGACCAAATGCCAAATGTTCTGCCATGTAAAAAATACAGATTCAGCCCTAGATTTTTTTCTTGTCCTTTCTTGCCCCTAAATATCTAGAAGTAGTTTTAAATGTATGGTTTTTTTAAGCCTCCCTCAAAATTTTTTGGTAAGAAATCTGTTATGGTATCACCCTTTCAGTTTATTTCCCAATGGAAAATAACTATTGAGAACCCACAAATACTCTTTTTGGGGCCACAGTTCTGTAACTACTTTCCTGTCTGGGGTCTGAGGTCTTAGCTTTCCTATTTAGTGTTCTCTCATCAGTAAAAAAATATAACTGAAGTCATTCTAGACACTCACTCAACTGAAGTTAGTTTGGCCTCTAAAGGGACATTTGTGGATGTCTGGTGACATTTTTGTCTTTCACAACTAGCAATGGAGTACTACTGGCATTAAATATAAAGAGGGGAAACATCTTACAGTGTACAAGACTTACTCTAAGAAAGGATTATGTGGCCCAGTTTGTCAGTCGGTGCCTAGATTGACAAACCATACTCCAGAGAAGTGTGTGCTGCACCAGCATAATTCATGTTTGGTTTAAAATTGCTGGACCTCTTTTTGTCTTCAACTTTTTCCTCTGAAGCTTGTGGGAGAATCATCAGTGTAGCCATATTCCCCTTCCTAAATCCTTGCGCAATGGTTGATTTCATTATGTGTTAGTAAGGGTAACTGCAGCTCTTCCTGTGACATGGTCTCTGAATTATAGTTTTTATTTAAGGTACTATACCAAGGAATCTATTTGAAGGTCTCCTACTCTCAATTTGATTTGTTTAAAATTTAGATGGTGACTTATTTGAAGATGAAGCATAGTACTCCAAGCTGGTAGCAGGAGGTTGGATATTTGCCTTTCTTGACCTAAAGCATGAAGTTACACTGGTCTCTCAATAGAAGTTCTCACTAGAAAAGTCTGAGAAACACTAATATAGCACAGAGAACATTTTGCTTTTGCCAGTGTAACTAGCCACCAGCCTAAGTGATTTTGGCCACTCATTGAACTATGGTTTCCTCTTCTTAAAATTAAGATAACTAGTATAGTTCACGAATGCTTCTGTTTGCAAACAAAAACATTCAGCAAAATGTTGCTTCTGTTCACGTTCACAAACTCCACATGGTGACAGATACACCCATAGCCATCTTCCCCCAAATTGTAAAATTAATTTCATAAACTGAGGTGCCACTGTAGTTGGAACAGACAAAAGCACAGCAGGCAGAGAAAAGTATTTCAAAGCAACAGGCCCAAGAGAGGTGATAGTTCAGCAGATTCAAGGAATCTAATGAGCCTGAATATGATACATTTGGGAGAATTACTGTGGAAGAGATTGGGCTACATCATATTCCAAGCTCAAAGGAGTGTAGTTATGACCTTTAGTCTAACACTAGAGTACTAAGAGAAGGCTTCATATTATTGAGGCCCACTGTATGCCCTACTTTAGGCTGTGGGCATTTGGAATAGATGAGAACAATGAGAAGAGTCTTTAGACCTTGTGAGAGATGAGACAGGCAGTGAGAAATTATTGGTTGACTTATTTTAGTAGTTAAAATTTATTAAGCCTTAAGCAAGTAGCAGACCCTGAATTTATCTGAGGAACCATATATGTTAAATAATATAGCCACCATTTTGCAGATAGACAAATTGTAGCTCAAATTGTACTGAATTGGTTTTACCCTATTTTATTGATTCTTCTTAAGAACCCTTCTACCAGTGAGGAAACTGCAGCAAAGAGGTTAGTTGACTAGTCTAAATTGATCACATACCTAATCAATTTAGAGGTGGGGATTAGAACTCAAGCAATCTATGATCAAACAGTTTTTTTTTTTAATTACTCTTCTGTGTGTTGCTCATTTAACTGAGAATGACAGTCTGATTTAGGAAAATGGATTATTGCTTGGTTGAAAAAGGAAGCTGTGTAAAGGCAATGAGACTTTGTCTATTGTGTTGTTGTATTCCAGTGCCCAAAACAGTTTAGAAGAGTGATGGCGAACATGTGCTAGAGTGGACTGTTTGTGTCATTGAAAGCTCTAAAAAATTTGCCATCGCTGGTTTAGAGTATATTAGTCATTAAATTGTTGAATGAATGAATGATTATAGGATGCAATAATAAGCAAAGGCTATAATAGGATTTCAATGAAGAAAAAATTCTTGTGGCTTAATCTAGCATTTTCTTGGTACACATGGTGACATATACTTAAAATTGGGAGGTAAAATTTTGATTACTTCCTGAGCAAATGAGGAAGAGGATTAAGGAAGACTTCCAGGTTTTGACCTTAGCAACTGTTTATAAGGCTGTTTACATGGTGGATAGTGGAATTATTAAATTGGGGCTGTTTACCGTGGCAGATAGATTTATTTATTAAGTTGGTAGGCATGAAGTGGTAGTGGCAGGTTATAAAAAGGAATGATGCAAAAATGAATTGAATAATTGTGCTAAGTTCTTCTTCTCTTGGTTGGTTTTTTTCTCCCTGACTTGATTCTTAGTGAAAATATGTGAAAACTTAAAGGAGGAGAGGTATTTATTTGACTTAATAGTTTCAGAGGATCCAGTCCATGGTTGACTAGCCTCAAGTCAGGAACATCATGGTGGAAAGGCAGAGTGGAGCAAAGCCCCTAGTTCATGGCAGCAGGGGAACAGTGTCAGAGAGGAAAAGGAGGGACCAGATATAGACCCCAAGGTCACGCTTTTGTGACCTTCCCACACACAACCAGAACTATACTTTGCTAACTAACCCCCGGGCAGATCCCAAGCCAATCAAGTTGACTTATCCAGCTTAACTATTCCAAGATCTATTCAAATAAACTCTATAATGTGTTAGCTCATATTCAGTTGAGAGTATATGGAGAAGCTTACTTGAAAATAAATCTCAATATAAGGCTCAGTACTTGATTGTCAGACTTGACACTGCCTTTTCCTATACTACAGTGGTCAAGCCCCATGAACTACTTTAACTTTTTTGGAAGTTATTTATTTTAAAGTTATTTCTTTTTGCATGGTGTTATTGCTGCATTTATTGACTTAACATAGCCTAGCATTATTATTAAGTGGGTGGGCTTGGAAGACAGAATACTTCATTAATGTCACTCTGTCTTAATTATTCTAGCATTAAAATAACCCTCGATACCTCATAGGGAAAGTTACCACACCATAATATTCTTTTGCTTTTCCTTCTTTTGTAAACGTGGCTTTTCCTGGCTTTTTACTCTAGCATGTAAATTTCAGAAATGATTTGTCTAATTTCCAAGAAGAATTTTTTGAAAAAAACAAGAACAACAGACTTGTAAGGAGTTTGGAGTTGCATCAGATGTATAGTTTACTTATGGGAGAATCGATGTCTTTTAGTCTTTCCATTAAAATGAACTTTCTTTTATGTAGTTTTTGTTAATGCCTTATAAAGAAGTTTGTCTCCCTATATCTTACTTAGATTTATTTCCAGATTTTTGTTTTTTCTTTTTTAAAAACTTAAATATTTGATGCTGTTATGTAAAAATGGAGTTGATACATATTTAACCTAGTGACTTTGTTCTTAGTTCTATACTTTATCTTCCAATAGTTCTTTTGTATTTTCGCAGCACTCAGTCATCAACTATCTAGTTTGGTTTTGATTATGTCTTTGTAATTTTTGTACTCTACCCCCCACATCCCTCTCCTAACCCCTTTGACCTTATGCAGTGTTTAGGACCCTCTGCATATTGTTACTAGAGGTTATGATGGAAGGCAACTGCCAATGTGTTGTGGCCTATAGGACCTTTCACCATCTGGCTTCCATTACTCTGCCCTTAAGTCCAGTGCCTTTCTCCTTGGCTGACTGCTCCAGCCAAGATTGTCTCCTAGCTGCCTGTGAACACACCAGGCATACTCTCACAGTGGGGTCTTTGCATTTGTTACTCCATGGGTGGGAATGTGCTTTCCCTTAGATGGCTGCCAGGCTCCCTTGCAGATCATCACGTAGATGTAACCTTTTCAGTGAGGGCTTCCCCAACCATTCCAACTACTCCACTTTTAAAAACAACTTTATTGCAGCATATTTTATATATAATATAATTTGGCCATTTCATGTGAGTTCAGTAATTTTTAATAGTTTTGCAGTTTATATCATTCACTCCATTTTAGAACATTTTCCTAATAAGTATTCTGATTTACTGTTAAAATCTTTTTTCCTATCCCGCTTCTCTATGCAGCCTCCTAGATCTGCTTATTCTGGACATTTTATGTTAATGGAATCATATGGTATGTGGTCTCCTGTGCCTTTCATCTTTAACAAAGCAGAGGTCCTCATCAGTGCTTTAGAATGAATCAGTACTTCTTTCCTAGTCAACCTATTTATGGCTGAATAACTTTCTATTATGTGAATATATTATAACAAGTTTATTCATTTGTTAGTTGATGGATATTAGGTAGTTTCCAATTTTTGGCTTTGATTAAATCCAGTTACCCTGTCTTAAAGAGTAACCCTTTCTGTACTCTCCAGCAACACACTTGACATCCTTATTTGCTTCATTTTCTCATCATTCTGCAGTATATTATATGTCATACTATATAATCAAACTACAAATCTGATTATATATTTGTTTATTGTTTATTATCACTGGAATCTGAGTTTTATGGGGCAGAGTTTTTTGTCTCATTCATCACTGCTTTAAATTTAGGTTCCAAAACTGGCATATGGTCATTGAACAATAAACATTTGCTGAATTAATAAGTACATAAGTAAATGGATAAATTGGAAGTTTACTGTGATCTGTAGTAAGAAATATTTTATGATTTAAGTGGTTTGATGTTTCTGAAATATTAGTACTTTTAACTTCTGAGACAATTTAGGAGCTTTCAAAATACCATCCAGACATTGCTGATACATTTGAGGTTTTTATCCTGATGGTGGCTTTTAATCCTGTATTTTCAGTGTTGTAACCACTCCATCCCTGTAGCTTGGGGTTCAGAGAAGGCATTATATGCAGTATAAACATGATGATCTGCTCTGGAAAAGGACCTTGTCAGGAAGCACAGGATCCAAGAGGCTGTGCTGCTTAGGGTATTAGCTCTAACTAAAACCCACAGTTGGGGATCATTTTTCTTGCATGTATGTATCATGATTTGAAAGAGGAAGTCTTCTGATTGAGCCAATATTTTACTATGGTTGACATTTTTTTTTAATTTTTTTTTTTCTTTTTTGGTACCAGGGATTGAACGCAGATCCTTGGGCTTGCGCAGCAGGTGGCAAAACCACTGAGCTAAATCCCCGGCCCTTAAATTCTTAAAATGTAGTCAGTTATTATACTAGATTTGCTTCATTAGTGTATCCTAATTTCCAAAGGTCAATGCGGTTTCTTTTTTTCACTAATTTGCAAATGAGACTGTATTTTAAATATACATTAATAAGTTCATGATTTAAAGCAGTGGTTCTCTACATAGGATGGGCTGGGGACAGAGTTGGCAATATTTAGAAACATTTTTGATTGTCAAAACTGGTAGGGGTGGTGGTACTGGCGCCTCTCTAGTGGGTTCTACATTGTAAGATATTTAACAGCATCTAGCCAGGGATGCCACTGAACATCCTACAACACACAGGGTAGTCCCATAACAAAGAATAAGTCAGCCCAAATCCAAATTGCCAAGGTTTAAAAATGCCAGCTTAATACTGCACTCTTATTATTGTGTGTAGTACTACATATATGCATATATGATGGTTTATGAAAAATAATAGCTCTAAAGTGTTTATACATACATATATGTGTGTATGTATATACTCTCCTTACTTCACACTCTTAATCTATATGGTAAATCTAGTTTATATTTTAATTTTGTTCCCTAATAAATAAGAAAATAGAAAAGTTAATTTTACGTTTTTGTTCTATGACATCTCTTTGGTTTGTACTGAAAAGAAGACTGATCATTTGTTATGTACCTTTTGATTGCTTATTTCAGCATTAAGTTTCTTAATATTTGCTTCATAATTTCCAGGTTCCTTTTTTCTTGTTGGTGAAAGATATATTTTAGATGATCACTTTTCTAAGACATGTTATCTTTTAGCATTCATAATTCCCTATTTTTTATAGTTATTATTTTTTAAAGTACATTATCACTTTTCTCCTATCTTTCTAACTTGTAAGTATAGTTCCTTGTGTTCAGTATTTCACAGCATTATTTATTTTCATACTTTAAAGCTATTCTTTTTCAGATGCTATCATTAAGATTTAAGTAGCTTATTTGCTTGATTCTTTCTTTCTATGTGTTTGTCTGTATTTGAATTCTTAGTGTTGATTAACCAAAAAACTAAAATTCAGTATTAAATTTGAAAGTATTTGAAGACAGAATGTCACTAAAATTTTTATTAGAACATTTTCATTTTGCAGTGAATGCCTTGGAAATAAACAAAAATAAGGGTTTATTTACTAACAATTTATGCGATTTTGTCTGAAATGCTGTTTTGTGTGTTTTATTAAATAGTAATGTTTTACTTCTTTTTTCACTGTCATCTATTTTTGGTGTAGATAAATACTGAAGAACATGTGGATACAACTGATAAGGAGGTTATATTATGGGATCATAAGATTCCTGAGGATATCATGAAGGAAATAACTGCCCCTAAAGAGGTCCCAGCAGAGAGTGTTACTGTCTGGATTGATCCACTTGATGCTACACAGGAATATACAGGTAATTTAAAAATTTACCTCAAACTTGAGGTTGCCATTTCATATTAAAGAACTAGAACCAAAATAGGTGGTACATATATGGTAGTAGATATTTTACAAATCTGAGAACTTTTCCAATTCGATTTTAAGATAAAAGGTTAATACCACATTACCTAAAACATTTGGACTGAATCAACTGTGTTCAACTTTTTTTTTTCTTTTTTTTTGTCCAAGATCCCTTTATTTTAGCATCTTTCTCCAGGTGAAGTAGCTCATTCAGAATCAGTAACTCATTGATTCTTCAGTAAAGTAATATGCTTAACATTATCAACATAATCGTTTCTGTTGAACATCTATTATTGAGGAAATTTATTTAGTCAGAATTTAGTAGTTACTTGGGATTATTGGGAATTGATTTCTGTCTATCTAGCTAGCTATCTGTCTGACCTTGGAATTCAACATGGTAAATCCTAGGTACTCAGAAACCATGTAAGTAGTGAAACAGTTACTGCCCTTCCCACTATTTCCATTTCTTTTACTTATTCCTAGCTCAAGATTTATTTCCCTGGATCCTTTCTCAGGCGTTGTTTTTACCTGGAGATAGCCTAATTTCTGCTTTCTCTCTTGTTATAAATGTTAAATTTAGTTATTTATCTGTTTGTCCCACTAGTGGTACATTTCCTAAATGTGGGGTCCTCTACTTTATCACTTACATTCCAGTGCTTATTAACTGAACTTGAACCTAGACATTCAATAGATAACTATTTGGAGAACAGGGAGAAGACAGTAGTTGCATATATCTAATATTAACTAAATTATAAAATAGTACTTTGCATGAGTCGGTAATTGAAATATGGAAGGGTGAGGATTAAGAATATGTTTCCTAAACTGAAGTGGCCTGAAAACATCATATTGATAAGATTTAGTAAACACATCTCTTTTACAGGAACTCTTTTAACTAACTAGGTTGATTTTTAAATTTAATCCTAAAATTAAAAAATAATTTATATCTAAAGATGGATAAATACTATCTGTATTACACAGATGGAGAAACTGAATTTAAGTGATTTTTTTCTAAGACATGCTGCTAATAAAGTGGTGGGTTGGGAAAATAACCCAGGTAATTTGCTTGTAGAACCATAACTCTTAAATACCTTCTGTGGTTAGCCTTTATCCTTAGACATTTTTTTTTTTGGTACCGGGGATCATACTCAGGACCTTGTGCTTGCAAGGCAGGCGGCAGAACCACTGAGCTAAATCCCCAGTCCTAGATGTTGTTTGTTTGAAGAAATTATTGTCTTTGGAACACTTTTCTTGTACATAAAACTTTAATGTAATAAAACAGAATCTTGTCTCCAAAATTCATGCACAGTACCTTGACAATTGTGTATTTTTTTTCTCATAGAGGATCTTCGACAGTATGTTACAACTATGGTGTGTGTGGCTGTAAATGGTAAACCTGTGCTAGGAGTTATACATAAGCCATTTTCTGAATACACAGGTATGAAATTTGTGAACTTTCAAGAGTTAATATTATCGAACTGTTTGTCTGTAATATTTAACCTTTATGTTAGAATCTCACCTGTAGCTCAGTATTACTGAAGTCTGTCCTCTCCCCTGGCGGTGTAATAACCCTTGACTGGATACAGTGAGGATTTTATGTTTTGTACAGATAATATATGACAGAACATGGCTTTTTAAAGCCATCCTTAGGGGACATTGTTCAATAGAAGCAAGATTCTCAGTCTCTTGTGGACACATACTTTCTCCAACAGCTGTGGTGTTCTCTTTTTTTTTTCCCCCTCAGGCTGTTGCTACTGTGTGGGTTCTAAGGTCTAGTGTTTAGTTGCTCTAGTCAAATCTGTTGTCATTCGGAGAGCTTGATACTGTGGTGCTTAAGGGCAGAGCCACCTTAACATCAAAAACAGATGAGTAGGTGTCACTGTGAAAGTCTCAGGAGGTAGATTAATCTTTGGGTAGCCCTGGATGTCTCTCAGACCCTTGCTTAGCTACCATCATGATGCGGTCATGTGTGTCAGCTTCCTACAGAAGGCAGAGCAGATCAGTGATGTCCTCATTGGTAGTGAAAGGGTATGAAGGCCAACCAGAGAGATTCACATTAGTTTAAGAACTATATCTTTGCCAGTGCCAGTGAGTTTAGGTTGGTATATCTGTGTAACACATTACACTGCAGTTAACCAGAGAGGCCATGTTCATCTAGGTAGCAGTACTGATATAAACTATGATTACAAGTTCATCATGGCAAGGCATCATGGTGGAAAAGGAAAAGAAACAGTGTAAGCAGCATTGCCGACAGCCTGAAGGAATTATCATTTTTCATTGGTAACTCCTGTCAGTATACAGGATAGAAAGTATAACTCTTTGGCTCCATTCTTCTCTGAGACGACAAAGTTCTGGATAGTAACAGTATCCACTGTACTAGTATTGAAAACCCCTAATGACTAGGTATAGTAGATTACATAATGTCCTCCTCAAATTCACATCCACCTCTGTATTAGATTCTTTTCTATTACCAGGACAAAATACCCGACATCCACAACTTAAAGGAGAAGAGGTTGATTTTGGCTTATAGTTTTCAAGTTTTCAGTCCTTGGTAGGCTGACTCCAAGACAGAAGTGGCATGATAGGGGAAAGCTGCTGGACCATGGCTCCCAGGAAGCAGAGAGAAAAGGAGGAGCCACAACAAAAACACACCCTTTGAAGATATGACTCCAGTGACCCACCCACTCCAAACAGGCCCCACCTACTAAAGGCACATTGAATGATGAACTCATCCCTGGATTAATCCACTGATGAGTATAACTCCTCTGTGATCCAGGTACTTTCCAGAAGTCCCACCTCTGAACACATGAGGCTCTTGGGGGACTTTTTAGATCTAAACCATAACCCCTGAATTTGTTTACTAGCACTGCTATTATTAAAAATCACAAAATCTGTATCTAAAACAGTACTAAGTTAGTCTGTCTTTCAGTTCTGAGGCCTAGAGATCAAAAATCAAGGTGTTAGCAGAGCCATGCTTGCCCAGAAATCTGTAAGAGACAATTCTCTGTTTTACTCTCAGTTTATTATTTTACCAGTCCATGAAGTTCTTTGACTTGTAAACAAGACACTCCAATCTCCGCCTTCCTCTTCACATGGCATTCTCTCTGTGTGTTTATATCTCTGTATCTCTTTTCTTTTTCTTACAGGACACCAGGTTGGATTAGGGACCCACCCTGTACCAGTATGACTTTGTATTAACTAACTATATCTACAGTGACCCTATTTCTAAATATCAAATACTGAGATGCTGGGGATTAGAATTTCTTCATAGTTTGGGGGAGAGACACAATTCAGTCTGTAATAATCAGAGGACTGGGGATGTAGCTCAGTGATAGAAGGCTTGCGTAGCATATGCAAGGCTCCAGATTTGATCTCAAGAATTGTAAAAAACCAAACCAAACTTAAAACTCCAGAAAGTTAAGGCAAGTATCAAGATGAGATCATACTTGGTGGGACCTTAAAGCAATGAGAGAGTACTTGTAAGAAAGAGAAAGAACCCAGACAGGGATAGGATAAGACAATGTGGAGGTAGAGGCAGAGATTGGAGATTGCCTGTAGCCACCATAAGCGAGGAGAGAGGCATGGAATAGATTCTGCCTCCAGGAGGAAAATACTGCCAAACCTTGATTTTAGCCTTCTAGCCTTAAGAACTGAGAAGATGAATTTCTTTTGTTGTAAGCCACTGAGTTTGTGTTGGATTTGTTATGCTGGTCTTAGGGAGCTAATTTACTGGGAATTTGTACAACTGTTATTTACTTAGCCATCCCTATTACATCTCAAGAGATACAGCTCATCACACAAAAAGACTGTCTGAGCCAGGCCTGGTGTTGTAATCCCAACTCCCAGCACTTTGGGAAGCTGAGGCAAGAACATCCTAAGTTCAAGCCCAACCTGTGCAACTTTGGGAGACCCTATCTCAAAATAAATTTTAAAAAAATAAGAAAGGGGTTGGGGGCATAGCTCATTATGAAGCTAATACTGGATTCAATCCTCAGTACTACCGAAAAAAGCCCTGTTCTTTGGGGAAAAAATAGAGATAAGTCAAGTTTCTTAAAAGTTACTTATTTGCTTTTTCAAATAACTATCTCATGGATCCTGCTGCACATATTTAAATGTTGATTCTATATTTCAAAATCATACCAATTTGAATGCTGACACTTGACAGTTCGAATGCTGTGAAAGGTTTATGCCATTGTTGTGATGTTGGGCCTTAAGATTAGTTATATAATTGCTTTGTGGTTTATGGAGTACTTTTACATATTTCCTTTAATCCTTACTGAATTAGATACAAGTTAGGCTGTTAATTTAGGTTGCTGTGCAGTACACCACAATATAGGAAGTTGAACAAGTATTTCTGCTCTTACAGCTGATATGTAAGCAGACCAGGGCCACCATGGTAGCTCCTTGATACCAGACATGCAGGATTGTCCCTACTGCTTTGCTCTCATAACACTTAACTGCCCTTTTGGACATCAGTGAGCATAGCTCACTCTTCCTTCTGTATGCCACCAGTGGAGAGTAAAAATAGAAGTCATTTCCCACTAAGAGCCTGACCTGTAGGTTGCATGCATCACTTCCCACCTCCCACTCATGTTGCTTATGTCTCATTGATCAAAACATAGCTAAAACCAGTCACAAGGAAGGCTGTGAAGTGTAGTGTTTATTTTCAGGGGCCATCAAACAAAAGTTCAAAGATTCTCTCATTCAAGAAAAAGGGGAAAAGTAATACTAGAGTCCAACTTACCAGTACTCTGGACTTAGTGTAGCACAGAACAGAGAGATATCGTTACTTAAATTAGTAGTCCCACTTGGAGGTGAGAAAGTGAGAGTCGGAAGTTCAAGTCATCCAGCTAAATTAGTAGCAGATTCAACCCCAGGAATTTTATCCAAATTAATATATCGCAACACTTTTAAAATAGCAGTGCCTTTTCAAAATTCTAAACATTTGTGTAGTGTTTAACAATTTGAAATATATTTAATGTTATTTTATTTGAACCTCTTGATAAATACATGGCAAGGAAAGCCTTTGGTATATGTATTTTTTTTGTTGTATATGAAAAAATGGCCTTAGCATTTCCTGTCAGGAAAACGTTATAGCTTCTGTCAGAGCTAACCACTCCTTGCTTACTAGTACCTTGCAATTATTTAGTATTTGCAGTTTCTAAAGTGCATTGCCATTCATTCTTAGATTCTTAAAATAATTCTGGAAGGGATATAAAATAAGAATTGTGGTGACTTTATATTTAAGAAACTGGCATATAAAGGTTAAATTCAGAGCTTGACACTTTGAAACTTCCTTTTTTTTGATACTGCCCCTCATTACTTCTGTCTGTATCAGTTTAGGTTGCATTTAGCGTCACAGAAAGTAAATCTGATTACAGTGGTTCAGCAAGTAAGAGAGCTTCCTCTTTCTCACCTAACAGGATGACCAGAAAGTGGATTAGTGAATCAAGAACCTGACTCCTCTTTCCATTAGAAGTCTATTTCTGCATGCTCATAAAGATGAGTCCTCTAATTTGCCATGATTTACTTTTTTAGGCAGGAAAAAAGAGGCATAAAGGATTTATCCCAGAATTTTTTTTATTAGGAAAAAAAATAACTTGAAGTGCTAAGCCTTATTCATTGAATCTCCACATTTAATGAACATTGACTGTCACATAGCACCTTTAGTTGTAAACAGAGCCTGCTACTCAAGAAAGAATGGAATTTCAACAAAGAAAATCATAGGCAGTTGATACTAGATGGACAAATAGATGCACATCCTTTGAGTCTTGGTTTCCACATCTCTTCTTATTAGGGGGAAGGATAGGGTTAATAAAATGGCCATTTTGAAAAGCATTTACACCTTAGTAATGTGCATTGCCCTTCCCCATAGGCTTACCCTCCTTAAAGAAGCTAAATGGTTAAGAACAGTTTCCAAAGTGTCTTTTTAAATTAACGTCTTAGTTACTCTTCTCCTTGATGAGACAAAATACCGGACCCACAAATTAAATGAGTAAAGGTTTATTTTAGTTTACAATCTGTAGAGGTTTCAGTCCATAGTCACCTGGCTCCAAGACAGGGTAACATGGCAGATTGGCATTGTAGAAGAGAAACAGTCCGTTACAGGGCAGGCAGCAAGCCTCCTTTTCCCTTTTATCCCATCCAGGCTACGAGAGTTTTGGGTGGTGCCACCCACACCCAATGTGGGGCTTCCCATACTCATACCCAGAAGTTTGATAGACCAATTAGAGGACTAATCCATTACTGCATACCCTTCATCTCATCCCGGTATTACACCCTTAATCTAAATTCACACACTCTAGATCCAGCCATCTCTGAAAAGCCCCATCTGTTTCCATGAGACTTTGGGGGGACATCTAGATACAAGGCATAATAGCAATAAAATGTTTTAGTCTTCTGTGATGCAGTTTACTACTTGCTCGATGTACTGGAACATGAAATTACCTGCCAGTTAGCAAACACAGTGAAAGAATCAGAATGTCCAAAAGTGTGGTTGACCTTCCATTTCTGCATGGAAGATTTTTTTGCCTTGTACCTTCCTTTAGGTATGTTATTTTCAGACCCAGACTGTATATTGATGTTGCCAAAGTACCAGTTGTAAAGTATTGTATGTTTATCAGAATTTAGTTATATTTAACTGTAAATGGAATTAGATATTATTGTTCCCATTATAGCAGAAATTGGAGAACAGCTTGTCAAAATTATTGTCAAACTTTATAATTAATTCTTTGAATTTGATGTTCTTAAACACAAGACACAGTCGAATGTTTTTTAATGAAGTAACACATAAATGTATAAGTGTAATATATTCACTCAGTAGAAATTTGTAGCTGTTAAAAAATAAGTTATGGGCCCAGGGATTTAGCTCAGTGGCACTGCACCTGTCTCGCAGGTGCGAGGTCCTGAGTTTGATCCCCGGTACAGAAAAAAAAAAAGTTATGTTAGATTTCTGTATAGCAAAATATCAACCTGTTTTTATTTGCCACTCAGCCTTTTTAGCCTGTCTCACCACACAGTGGTGCCTGGGTTCACGAACTTAATTCTTTCCACTATTCTGTCTGCAACCAGAATTGTGGGAAGAATTAAGTTCATAAACCGAGATACTGCAGTAAATTAAACAGTCTATAGCAGGTATCTCATCACCATTACCTCCTCCTTATAGTCATTTATATTTAACCACCTACTGTACTTTTTAAAATATGTCCATATAATTGTAACAAATAATCCATATTACCATATTGAGTTATAATCCTGAATTGGTAATTCTTATTCAAAATTATTCTGGTAACTCCACAGATACACTATTTTTATTCACTTACACAATACTGACCTCTAGAGATTCAGCATTGTAAGTTCACTAAGAAGTAAACTTTTTTTTGACATTTATAAAAAAGAACATAGAGAATTTGTGGCCTTTTTACTTTTATTATGAATAATTTCAAACAAAATTATATGAATACTCATGTACTCCATCTAGATTTAACAGTTACTATATTGCTGGATTTTTTGTTTTACTTGATTACATTAAGGAAAATTTTAAGTAGCACAACATTTAAAACTATATATTTGAGTGTGCATCTTTCTGTAAGGGCATTTTTCTACAGAACAGTACTATTAAATAATAAAATCAACAGTGATTCCCTAATTGATACTCAGTGGTCAAATTTCCCCAGTTATTCCTAGATTATCAGTGGTACCAATGGCTGATTACCTCAGACCAAGATCTAGTTAATGATACATTTTTTTGGTTAAGTTGCTATGTTTAATTTTCTTGAGCTAGAACAAACCTCCGTTCCTCTTCCATGACGTTGACTTAAGACCAGTTCATTTCTTCTGTAGAATGTTCTCTCTTTGGTATTTATCTCATTGTTTCCTAGGGTGTCATTTAGCTTATTTTTATATCATTTAATATAACAGTGTCTCTTTGTCTTACTATAAAGGATGCTCAGATGGTTAAAGTGGTCATGATGAGAACTCTCAATTATAAAGTTATTTTTATTTTCCTGCTAAATCTCTTGTATTTTCTACATATGTCGAACTTGCTCCATCAGCTGGACTTATCACAAAATGTATTTTCTTTTAGAAATGCAGGACAAATTGAACAATTTTTCCCTTTATGTATCAATTTTCAGAGAAGGAATTAAAATGCAAACTACCTCCAAATAGAAGATTTAGAGGGTGGGGAGAAGAGGCTTTCTCTTTTTAAAAAAAATTTTTATCTCATGGACTTAATGTTCAGTATGGTTCAGAAAGCCACAAATACTACTTTTAAGTTAAATGTGTTATTTTTTTCTTGGTAACTTTTACTAATATAGTACCTTTTATCTTGTTTTCTGTATACAGTATTATATAGTCCTTTTCTTTTGACATTTCTGATAATTCTCTGCTAAAAACATTTCAGCTTATTTCAGTTTTGTACTTGACAACCATCCCATTTTAGTCATTCATATCTTTTTTTAATATTCACTTTTAAACTCTATAATTCAGCTTATCAGACTTATCCTTTGACTCCCAGCCATCATCAGTGCTATAATATTTACACAACCTTTATTCTTCTATGTTATTCCCATCTTTGGTGTCATTTCAGATCCGTTGTTACATGTATTCAATGTCAGCTAACAGTGCCTTTGCTAAAGGTTCCCCAGTTATCCCTTGGTTGGGTAAAACCTGTTCTCTAATAGATTATTTCTAGCTCATGGGTTTAGTATTACTTGAGTACATGTTAAAAACTTTTCTACAGCCTTTGTACTTGAAAGACTACTTGACTAGTTATAAAAACTTTTGTCTGTCCTGTAGTAGTGTCTTAGGGCTGTCATAACAAATTACCACAAGCTAGGTGGCTTAAAATAACAGACATTTACTCTGTTGCAGTTGAAGAGGCCAGAAATATGATAACAAGGAGTCAGTAGGCCCATGCTCTATTCGGGGTAGGGGGAAGAATCTTTTCTTTCTTCTTCCACCTTCTGTTGGCTCCAGAAATTCTTTGCATTCCTTGATTTTGGTTATGCATTGGTCCAGTACTCTAATCTCCGCCTGTCTTTGCACAGTAGTATCTTTTGTCTTCCCTCTTCCTATAAGAACTTCAATCATTAGATTTAAGGCCCACTGGAATCCTATATGATCTCAACTAATTAAATCTACAAATCACATTCTGTAAGTTTCAAGTGGACATGGATTTTGATAGGACACTGTTCAGTCCACTATACACCCCTTTTTCTTGATTAACCTGTGGAAACTTTTGAACTGGGCTTTGTATCTATGTGTGTTGACTGTTGTTGGCAAAAAGGCTGTTACCGTACTGATTTTCTTTTCTTTGTCAGTGACTTCTTTTTTGCTTGGAGTAAATACAAAAGAACTCTATATTTAAAATCTAATAATATAACTGTTATGTTTCAGAATTAATGTTCTGGGCAGATTTCCAGGTACTCAGAATGCCTGTTAGTATAGGGCTTTAGGTCCTTTTTTTATTTCAGTGACATTTTATGGAATCACAATTTTAAAGATTTCATTGTTATCCATGGTGGACTATATTTTATTCCATACTGAGTGAGTGCTATATTAACAATCTAATTGGTATAATTGAGTACGTATGTTATCTTGTGTGGTTTGATCAGCAGTGAAGAAAACTTGCAAACCAAGAAAAACATCTCGAGGCATCCCTGGGGTCTTCTTCCCTTTTAAAATTCTGTTCACTTTGAAATCTAAGGCTTTTTCTTTTTATTCTCCCTTTTAAAACGGACATGTAATATTAACTCATTTACCTTTTTATTTTCTGTTTATAAAGTTATGTAGGTAATTGAGCCAGTATGCAAGTAAATGAAACCATGAGTACATTAGAAGTAGAGAAGGTATAGAAGAAAAATCAGTTTTAAAATTTGAGTTACCTGTGAAAGTTAAGATTCTCTCACAGATTGGGTTCCCCAGGAGTCACACTTTGAAAAATTAGCATGCAGGATGTTTATTGGGGAGTGTGTTGGAGCAGATGTATTAAGGGAAGGAAGGAAATGCGGTAGATGCAGAGAGAAGTCAGATTGCAGAGCAGTCCCAGTGGAGTATCCGCCAGAACCTCAGGAAAACTGAAGTGTGGGAGTTCTTAAGCCAAATGCTTAATAGCTCCTCTCTGACTCCCCAACATTATGTTGCCTTTATGCCTTGCCTGTTTTACTGTTTAAAAAAATGTTACATTTGTAGGAAGAAAAAATAAAGTATTCTCCTTTGGGGAAAAAAATACAGATAATCTGTAGAGGAGTACATTTTCTTCAGTCACTTAATCTGTAGAGGAGTACATTTTCTTCAGTCACTTGGTTCTTTGAGTTCTAAAAAGTAGCTTCTTTTTCTAAAGCTTCATGGCTATTAACGTGTATTTGCTTTTCAGCTTGGGCAATGGTAGATGGTGGTTCAAATGTGAAACCCCGCTCTTCTTACAATGAGAAGACTCCAAGGATCATTGTATCTCGCTCCCATTCAGGGATGGTCAAACAGGTTGCTCTTCAGACCTTTGGAAACCAGACTACAATCATCGCTGCTGGTGGTGCTGGTATGTTCCCCTCCCTTGTAACCCCAGCGAGTGTTTCCACCATGGGCAACCTATGTCAAGAGACTGACTTGTTTGTCCCATGCTTAGCAAAAAAGTGAGAAGGAACGACGTGTTTTCAAGCCAGATTCAGTCTCCTACTTGGTAATCTCCATTCAGTAGCATTGGCTGTGCCAGAAAGAAACAATCTCACAGCAGTGATTTCTCTTTCTCAAATACTACAAAGGCAGCTTCCCATCAGTGATCTCCCATCAGTGGTTGCTTTTTATATGTTCTGACTTCAAAATAATTGTCCCTTAGTTTATGAGGGACAGGATGAAAAATCAAGCATGTAAGATGTTTCCTACAGCAGAAGGAAGCCAGGAGTCTTCCTAGGTATTACCTTGCATGTTGGGGTGAACAAGAAAGTCAGGTGCCCACCCAGCTTACTGTATTTTCATACTATTTTATCAGCTGATTGTAGATCAAAGGTTAGCCCACTTTTTCTGAAAAAGGCCAGATAGTAAATATTTCAGACCTTGGAAGCCACACACAGTCTGTTGCATACCGCTTTATGATTTTTAAACCACCTATTAAAAAGATTTTTTTTAATCCTTATTTTAAGACATTACAAAAACAGACCATGATCTGTATTTGGCTTGAGGGGCTATTTGATGACTCCTATTATGAATGCTCTTTAATATGTCAGAAGTTTTAATTTAGATAAATAACAAAGTATGATCAGAAAACCTTCATGTTGGAATATCTTTCCAATACAGTAGTGGAGGAAAAAGTAACACTTAAGCTTATAATATAAAGAAGTTACTTTTAAGCTTATAATTTTAATTTGCTGATTGCATATACCTTCCTTAATATTTACTTACAGGTTCTTTTAGGTTGGTTAGGAAAGGTAATGTCCAAAATACCCAGTAGAGATGAGTTAAAACTAGATTCTGCATCCAGTCTCCATCAGTTTTACTTATTTTTTATTCCATACATTCTTCCTTTTTACAGAAAGGATTTAAGGTGGTAGCATTAGTTTTTGTTCTTTCAAATCAGGTCTGCTCCAGTGCTCAAGTGAAACATATAGGTGTTTAGCTTCAGTATAGTATGTCATTCCATAGCAAATGGCACATACTGAATATGTCACTCCATAAAAGACAACTACCATGAGGATTTTAAAAATTGATAGGTATATGTTTGCTTATACTTGAGACTACCTTTATAAATTACTTTGCATATTTTGCTTAATGTTTGCATTGTTAACATGTAAAAATATTTTTTGAAAACAATTTTAGACTTCCTATGCACTTTACAAAGACAGTACAGTGAGCTCCTGAACACCCTGTCCTATTCTTTTCAACCATGTATTTAATAAAAAGTATACACTGCTGCTTTCTTAAAATCTTTTGAGCAATAATCTAAATTCTGTGTTTATCTTTCAGGTTATAAAGTTTTAGCACTCTTAGATGTACTTGATAAGAGCCAAGAAAAAGCCGATCTGTATATCCATGTGACATACATTAAAAAGTGGGATATATGTGCTGGAAATGCCATCCTAAAAGCCCTCGGGGGACATATGACCACCCTGAGTGGTGAAGAAATCAGTTACACCGGATCAGATGGCATTGAAGGTGGACTTCTTGCTAGCATCAGAATGAATCACCAGGCTCTGGTCAGAAAACTCCCAGATCTAGAAAAGACAGGACATAAATAAGAATAATTGATTATAGGGTGCCACTTCCAGAGCTGAAAGGGTTAGCCTGAAATGCTGGAAGCTTCAAAGGATTGGTGGAGACAATGGTCACAGCCATCTCAAACTTCTTAAAGTATTTATGAAGCATCGGAGACATTATTTTCCCTCTAATAGGATGCAAGATCAGGGAAAGTGGGTTGCTTCATGTCTCAAGTATTGTCTTTATTTTTGAGACTATTTTCATACAGTTGTCATATGCAAGGCGCATATATATATATTTGTGAATTAAAATCTATAGCTGAGTCTACATTGTTATATGAGTCACCATTTTCACACATCATGAATCTTCACTACTAATAGTTTCATATAGAACTGAGTTGAAGGAAGGATTGACTTTGTGTAAATGTTTAATTTAATTTTACAGTTATATCTCATTGAAAATAAAGTAATTGGGGGTTTTTACTCCTAATTCAGATAGAAAGCACAAGAAGCCACACATTCATTAATATGTAATAAAAGCTGTATTCATGTTACTGAATATTTCTATGGATTAAACTAGAAAAAGTTTAAGTTGATTTTTTCCCTTGAAATTTTAATAACAGGTTCACCAGCTAGTACAAAATATAGACAAATGATAGTTTCATTGTATTTGTAATGTTCCCTGTGTGTGTTTTGTTTTTATAAAGAAAAGTATTTGTACTCATAGGTTCTACATTTCTGTCATGTTGCTGTTGATTTTCATTTTACGTGTGGAAGATGCATGGTGCCATCTTTTCCCTCCTGACCAGCATTTAATCTGTAACTCGTGTGGTCTGGTTCTAGGTTTCTGGGTTAGTAGTTATGGTTTTGGTACATTTTCTCATTAGGGATATAATATGCTGTAAGGCACTGTAAGACTAGACATGACTCTAATTGAAAATTGCTTGACACAACACGGTTTGAATTTGTTTTTATTATTTTCAGGAACTTTGCTTTAGTAAGTTTTAAAAGATTTAGCAGGTTTTTATATCAAGAATCTTGATATTCTCTCAGTATCAAGAATGAGTACAGTTGCTTTTGCTATGGTTGGTTTTACTGCTAATAATTATATCTAACCTAAACAAACTCTCAAAGTAGTGATTTTAGACATATTCTTTAGTTTCCCATCACCTTACAATACTAAAAATTAAAGGTTTTTTTTACCTTTGTGGTGCTGGGGATAGAACCCAAGGAATTGGTGGTGTTAGGCAAGTGCTCTGCAGCTGAAGTATATCCACGGTCTCAAAGTTACTTTTTTTTTTTTATATATTAAATTCTTTTATTGGTACATTGTAGGTATACAACACAATTACATTTCTCATTGGGAATTGTACCTTTATATAATGCAGCTTGGTTCTTATTTTTTCCCCATTCCTAGCCCTCCCTTCACGCCCTCCACCCTTCCCTATTTACAAAGACTTTATTTCCATTTTTTCCATTTCTCATCATTTTTCCTTTCCCTTCTTTCCTTTCCCCTGCCCCTCCCACTACCCCTACCCCTTTGGACCTTTTCTTCCTATTTTACATTTTCGATTATTCATTCTAATCATTGGTACATTTTAGGTATACAACATAATGACATTCATCATTGGAAATTTGCACCTTTACATAGTCTCTCTTGGTTCTTATTTTTCACCCTTGCCCAGCCCTCCCTTCAACCCCTCCAGTCCTCCCTATTTACAAAGATTTTGTTCCTATTTTTCCATTTTCTCATATTAATCCTATTCCCTTCTGTCCTTTCCCCTAGCCCTCCCACTTCCTTCCCCTTTGCCCCTTTTCTTCCTATTTCACATTACCTATTATACATTTAGTCCTTATTTACATCAAAGTTACTTTTATATGAATTTTTTTTCTATTTAACAGAAACTGGTTGGAAAAAAGTTGTGATGTATTCATTCTGTTGGCATAACTACAACATTTTTTTCATGGGCTTTCACTGGAACATGTGGTATTTCTCAGTGTGATATCTAGAAAGTTCATGTAAACATACAGTACCCTTATTTCATGTGGCTGCATTGGCTTTGTATTCTCTAACACTAATAGGAGTTTCTCATGGTTTCTTTTTTCTTTTTTCTTTCCTTTAAAAAAATTTAACCCTAAAACAGCTATTTCTTTCCTGTCTTCAAGGTGAAAGAGGACAAAGAATTTACAAACTAGCCTGGTAGAAGTGCATACTTTTAAGTTTGCATGTTATAGTTTCTAAGGCCCTTTAACTCCTCATTTGTGAGCTGAATCTAGTATGCCCCAAATGTTTCCATTCAGTTTCTAGCACAAATACACTGGGTAGGCTTTTGTTCAATGAAAGTTCATTTATAAAATTCTAGTAGTTGGAACACTTGATATTTAAAAGAGGACTTGGGAATTTTAAAAAGAATATGAGACCTCATCATTTTACTTCAAAATCCTTTTTCTCAGGAAAGAAGACAAAGTTACCAAAATCCTGTGGTATAAGCATTTGTTTTAATTATAGTAAAACAAAGGGAAATGGAACTGGCAAATAAATGGAATTTATTAGAGTTTAGAAATACTATGAGGAAATTTTATGATTTAGTGGAAGGAACACTCGCAAGCATGGTTGCTTTAATTTCATTTTTAAGAAAGTATTATTTTTATCTCATATCAGCTGTGACCTCTGAAGAGTTAATATCAGTTTTCATAACAGGATGTGAAGGATGTGTGTTTTATGCAAAAATCAAGATACTGGCTGAGAAATACATTATTTTTATAATTTGGGGGTGTAGTCTAGTTACTAATTATTTGTAAGTACTTTTATAGAAAGTTCAGTTTTAAAATTTTATTTCTAAGACATTATACATTACAAGGAACAGTATTTATATTTATTTATATGAGACATGATTGTGCTAGAACATACCAGTAACACACTTTCACAAGTGAGGCATGTGATATCTCAGATTACATAAAATAATTTTTAAAACAGAAGAACATGTACAATGTGCTTATAGTGATTCCCACTTTTACAAATTCCTGGTCTTTCATCTTTGGCTTTATTTAGAGTATATTTTTCACTTAAAACTGAGTTTTTATATATCATATTGGAAGCAGTGACATCAGTGACCTCAGCCCCCATTAGTCATCCTCCCCTTTCTGCCTCTTCATCTTTGCTTTGCTCCCTGTGTCTTACCCATTAATGTTCTTTTATTTTGCCTTCTCCTTCATAGCTGGTTTAACTCCCCCACACACTACCACTCACCCCTAAATTCTTCTATGTAATCATCTCAAGATTGGCTGTTGAAGTCTTATGGTGGAGCTGAAGTGATGGTCAAGTTCCCAGTGAATGAGATCAATCCTGGTGGAGCGGAATACTACATCTGAAAGACTCCCTAGAAAGTAAAGGAAAATCACATTTAAAGACACATACACACAAGTCAAATCTAATCCAATACTAAAGTCTTTACACAAAGAATTGCCTGCCCATCTCTCAAGAATGTAAACAGAATATGAAGGAATTGGATAGATAAGCCTGCTCGAGGAAACCCTTTTCTGTTGGTTTTCATCCCTTTATCTCCATGTCATTTGAGTTTATAAGATAGTCATATTTGTCTTTGAAGTGTGTTTGTCCCTGCCACCACCATTACCAGTTTAGTGTTTCTTGATTTTAAATCAGTATTATACAGATCAGTTCATGAAATAAAAGCATTTTGATTTATCTGCTTTAAGCACCAGCTGTGTAAACTATTTCTATTTGCCGGGTGCTCCCTTTGAGTATTTTGCAAATCTGTCAGAAGAAATGGTGCAGGAGCCATGGCTGAGAATAGAGTGGGAAGGGAGTTCAAGGGAAGAGTAGCTGAAGGAGGATGCAAAGCAAGCACCTGCCCTGACCCCTAGGATCAGCAGCTGCCCTTTTTCAATCCTAGATTCAAATTTGGATTTCGCTTGGGCTGTGAAAGGTGACAGCTACCCCTAATGACCCAAGCATAAATAAAGACGGTAGCATGGCACTCCAGAAAAAATATTCAGCTTTCCTCTAGAATACCACATTGATGGTGGTCTTGACAGTTTAAAACAAATGTTTTGATTCTAGCTCCAATTACCTATTGTAGCTATGTGACAATTGGTTCTAGATAGAAAGTGATTTTGCATTTTACACTTGATCTTAGCCAAAAAGCCGAGAAGCGATGATTTTTCATTTTAGATCTTAGTGAATTTAATTATATGCCTACAAAAAGTGTCATAACTATTGTGTGAAACAGTTCCATTTTTATCTTAAAAAGTTGTGCCTTAATAATAGGGCATTATATGTTAATAAGGCAAAACAAAACCTTTTTTTAATAGGGAAAAATAGGAACTTTGGCCATTAAAGTTTAAGTTCTTTAAAGGTTTTTAATATTAAAGTTGAGTAAACATCACTAAAATTAATATGAAATTATTTTTGGATAATTAACATTTACAACAAAAGTACATTTTTGTAAGAACTGGAATCTTGATGTATATAGGTCTGAAATGATATTTCATCTTTCAATTTTTAATTTAATGTAAGACCAGGATAGGTAACTTTTTTATGAATTTTACTTTTAAATAAACCATTTCAGTGTGCTAATATATCTGTTCTTGTCCCGTAGAGTCATTTTTATTTAAAAAATAGCTCTTTATTCATGATAGCATGTCAATCGTTTATTAATGTTAAATAATACAGTATGTTATATGACATAATAGTTCCTAAGGAGGAGAGATTCTAACTCATACCAGCTGTTTCTGAGAGGGGAAAATCAAATTCTGTACTTAGAAGGATTCTTGGTTCAGGAGGGTAGTGGTTATGTAACTTGTTTATTTTCATCCCATCAAAGCCTCGCAGGTATATACATTCCAGTGTACCATTAGTAAAGGTCTTTTTTTAAAATTTTAAGTTGAGTGGTGAATTACTTTTGTGGAAAATATGATTTATCAGTTTTCCTTTGAGATAATGCAACCCAAACTTTAAGAAGGATGATGAATAATATTAAAAAATACTGTTACATACTGTGTAAGTTCCCAAAAGTATTACTATTATTACCATAATTTATGTAAGCTGCAGAAGCAGAAACTATGATATTTGATTATTAGTATGTTCTATTTCTTTGATATACACAAATTTTTATTCAGGAATGATTTACTCCTGTATTTTTTTAAATAGGAAAGGCATACTAAGTTATTGTGAGATCAGTTCACTTACAAAAAGATTTTATGTCTCCTCTGATGATCTCATCTGGCTTTTTTGATCATGTAGTGTTAAGGAGGGAATATGTATAGACTTTTAATTTTTACATTATCCTAGCAGTAGCTAATAGTGACTTTTTTAGTCTTAACAGAAGAATCCATTTTCTGCCATGATGAACAGTAATGTTGCCAGGGCTCATTTTGCCCTTTGACATTGTTAACTTGAACAACCACAGTACATATGTATACACAGGGGTTAGATTTATACTGCAATTATAAGATGTATTTTCTGTCTCTCTTTTCCAGCTTTGTGTTTTGTTGTCTTCACTTCCTGTTAATCCATTTCTTATATTGGATCAACAATAATGAAAAAAATTTAAAAGACTTTACTTTTGAGTACTCATTTCCCTTTCACACTTTTTAAAGCCATGGAGGAGCTACACTCTCTTTTTATGGAGATGGTTTGCCACCGCTTATCTTAGCATGCTATCACCTTAACCCACATTATCAAATTTAGTGGGTCACAATTCCACCCTTTACTGGGAAGTAAACTGTTCCCTTCCGTGGCTTTAGTGCCTTTATTTTTCTTTTGTATCTCACTTTTCTATCACACCATTTTTATATGTGTTAATTAGATTGTAAACTTGAGAGATTGCACCTTGGTGACTTTTATGCTTTTGCTTCAACATCTAGCCCAGTGTCTTGCACAAATTAGGTGCTTAGTGTAGAATTAAATTAACTTAAAGGTTACTACTTACGTGTTAACCAAGTTTCACACTTCATTTGTTATGCACTGGTTGTTTGTTTCTTAAGCAGATATTTATGATTATCCCCTCACACAAGTATTTTTAGTTTTGCTTTTGTTTCACTATGCTATAATCAACTAACTAGAACATGTGATTGCTTCTAAGGACATAATTATCCTAAACTCTGCCCCTGGATATACTTTGCCAAATGAAATTTGAATTCTCTGAATAAATTGGTCATGTCTGAAAGAAAAATGCGCTGCATCTGCTTTTTTGTTTTTTCAATTATGGTACAACAAAAGTTAACCGTTTTAATCATTTTTAAGTATACAATTCATTGGCACTAAATACATTCACACTGTTGTGCAATCCTAACTACTATCCACTTCCAGAACACAGAAACTATACCCATTAAAAAACTACTATCCTTCCTCCCACCAGCCCCTGGTATCCTCTATTCCAGTTTGTTTCTGTGAATATATGGTATCTGCTTTTGAACTCTTAATGTGAGATTCTCTGTCTCCTCATGTACACAGAAGTCATCTGTTTGAAAATGGGTGTATATAGTAGCAAAACTATTGATTTCTTTATCCAGCTTTTTTAAAGTAAGGAGAAGTATAAAAGAAAATGTAGAAACACTAGTTTTTTTTTCTTACTGTAAAAAACATCTGAAGCTGGATAACTTTATTTGAAAACATTTATTTAGCCTTTTGCATTTAGCTCTAATTCCAGAGATTCAAGGGCAAGCATTGTTTCTGCTGGGCTCTGGAGAAGGCTTGGTGGATGGCATGGTAGGAGTTCATGTGAGAGCAGGAGATCATACTGCAAGACAGGAAGCTAGAAAGTAATTTAGGGTCAGCCTCAAGCTTTTCAGACAACTCACTCTCCACACAACTAATACAGGGTTGCTGGAAAACAATCTTACTTTTCTGAAGTCAGCGCCCCAGTGATGTTTCACTAGTGTCTTAGTTACTTTCTTGTGGCTGAGGATACCTGACACCCACAGTTTAAAGGAGAAGAGGCTTACTTTGGTTCATGTTTTCAGTCCAATGGATCCAAGGCTGGACAGTATGGCAGAAGGGCATAGCAGAGGAAATGCTGCTCACATCATGTCTGTCAGGAAGTAGAGAAGGGAACAGGGTAGTGGGATGACAGTATCTTCCAAGTTTCCCCAGTGACTTTCTTCCAACCAGGCACTGGTCTCCTAACATCATACTTAGCTATAGCACCCCCATGATTCACTTTTCAAAAGCCCCGTTTGAGTGCATGAGGGTTTGGGGGAACACTGGGTCAAAACCAGGATTGTTAGGCTCCACCTCTTACAGGTCCCACCACCCCCATACTGAAGACCAAGCCTCTGAGACACATGAACCCTTGGGGGATGAACCACAGCCAAACCATAGCAGGTAGCGTTGTAAAATGTATAATGAAAACAATACCCAAACCTTTTGTGGTCAAGTCTTGTAGGTAATAAACAGACATTATCTAGCCTAGGTATTTTTAGTTTGTGGTTTCATTTTTCCTGAGGTCAAAACAAGCTTCAGAATGGCAAGACCTTTCATTCTGTCACTGGCAAGCTACTTCTCTGCTTATTACTGTTGAGAGCTGCTTTTTGGTTGCATTTGCTTAATTTCTTCAGGGACTTGTCCTAAATATAAATTGACATTGCTTCAAAGGCACAACTTTTCTGAAAATTTGCGTGTTTCCTAAGGATTTCTTGAAGAAGTTCTAGTCAACTTTGCAAATTAGCATTTCCTCCCTTAACAAACCCTAGTGTAATAATGGCAGAGAGGGAGAGGGTGGGCTTGCTCTTAAAGCTGGTAACCCCATCCCAGCTGGAAATGTCGTTATTGGTAGGCATTCTGGAGTTCACTACCACTCCTTCCGTAACCAGTCACTCAAGGCCATAATTATAAGAATATGACTGCTTGATGCTTGTTAAAACTCTGAGATGTGATCTTTATATTGTCTGAGTCCTGTGAAGTATTTATCATTCTCAGTGTACAGCTCAGGAAAGGAGAGTGGATAGGGGATGTCCTTTATTTATCTAGTTTCCCTTTGCTTTTTCTCTCCTTTTTTCTTTTTTAAAACCACTGCTGGGCTAAGGCAATGTAAGCCCCTGACATTCCCTTGGTGTTCCACTGGTTGCTGGTGAGCCTTCTGAGCAGTACATTTTAATTTGATAGACTTACAGGGCACCTCTGTGGCTCTCATTTGGTCAGTCCGTTGCTGTATTTGTCATATATCCTGGCATGATGACTTACTTCCCATTCCTTGAAAGCTCACAAGTTAGCATCACGTGTCTCTCCATCCTACCAAAATATGTAAGTCTAGCCTCTTGTATTAGAACAGCATTTTTTACAGATTGTTGTAGTCACTTTCTGGTCTCTGAGGCACAATACCAGACACAACTTAAAGACAGAAAGATTTATCTTGGATCCTGTTTGTAGTCCACAATTGGCTGGCTCCAAGGGAGGAAGGCATGGTGGAAGGGCCTGAGCAGAGAACTGCTTACCTCCTGACATCCAGAAAGAAGGAGAAGGGGAAGGGAGGAGCTGGGGAGGGAGATTTGCTCTGCCAGGTCACACTCCCAGTTACCTGTCTCTTCCAACCAGACCCTGCCTCCTAACAGCAAGTCAGCTATTATGAGTGCCTCATAATCAAAGCACCTTTCCAAAGACCTGCCCAAGAGTGCATGGGAGTTTGAGTGGACACCTAGATATAAATCATGGCACAGATTATATAAATCAGCTCATGCCTGGAAGAGTCAAGATCAAAACAGGTAAGGTGGTAAGGTAAGAGGCCCAAAAGAATGCAGTAGAAATTCAGTACTGACCGAATTAGATAAGTGTAAAATGTGCACATAGGTGTGGAGTCAAATCAGGTGCATCTCAGGATGCACAATTTGATAAATGTTACACATGTCTTAATTCAATCTCACCTAAAGCCTAAGAAGAAAAAGAGAAAAGCGATCTCCATTTTAGAGATAGCCTTTCATAAATGGCCTCCTGTGACTTCCCAGATTGCAGAGTACAGATGCTTACCTGGGTGGAGTTTTGCTGTCATTGTTAAATCCTTCCCAAAAGCTGTCTTTCCCTTTTTATTTCATTGACCTCATTTTCTTCTGGTTTTCCCCCTAGCTCTTTGAGTACTACTTTTCAGGTGTTTTGCTAGGAGCATTGTATTATTATCAATCCCTTCAAACTTTGTAATTCCAGAGATTCTATTCTCAGGCCTCTATTTATAATATTCAGCATATTCTCCCAGGGCACTTTTCAGCTGTCACCTGTGTACAAGTGACCCCAAATTTCCCCTGTAACTCAGCCACTAGTAATATTAGATCATAGATTTGGTTTTGAAAATTTAGTTCTATAGTCACAGAAAAAATAATTGTGTGTGTTTGTGCGTGTGTGTGTGTATGTGTGTGTGTGTGTGTGTGTGTGTGTGTGAGTGTAAGTTAAGGCAATCATAGGAGCTTTTCCTGTTTCTTAATAGACCTTATCCTGGGAATTTAAAGCTCTGACTTTACTACTTTTCTTCTCCCAACTCTTGCAACACACTTATAAACAACCAACCTACCTTGTTTTACGCTTTTTATTAACATGTTCTAGAGAATAAGTGCTGGGAGCAATGTGCTTTAGATCACTATGGCCAGGCCTAACTCACCTCCTCCCATGGAGGAGGCAGGGTTCCACAGGAGGAGAACAGATGGCAAGAGGGCATGGTGGAGCAAGGCCTAGCCAAGAAGAGGACTACCTTCCTTCCATTCACCAGAGAAACATCAAATGTGATGTCTTGCAGATCTTAGCTCTGGTTACAGACCAGCCCCTTTACCTCCCCCTGCACTTCCTTTACCTATTCCACTATAAATAAATGTGCAGCCTTTCGCTTAGTGGTCTTTTCCACCCATCAGGAGTTAAGAGCCCCACCTGACCCCCACTTATATCTTATTATATCTCTTTGTCTGTCTTTCTTAACCCCTCACCATCGTTTTTTACTTCATGAACCCTTCAGCCATGTGGCCGTGCCAAATAAGTACTTTATTGCTGAAACTTCCCTCCTATAAGTATGTGCAGGTGATAATTTATGTAACTTGTATAGCTATTCCATGTTCCACCAAGTGGTTCCTTTACCACTAGAAATAGAGTCATTAATGTCTTTAAATCCAATCAAATTGAAAACTTCTTCCATACAATACAGAATCAATTTAATGGAGTCATCCTTAAAATGCTATTCCCCTGGAACCATTCTTACTACCCAATTCTCTATCAATTCAAGTTCAGTCAGAAAAACAGAACCATTATGAATGTAAATGTATGTAAATGTATGTTAAGTATATATAAAATAAAGATCTTTTTAAAGGAATTGGACTTATGTCATCGTGAGTGTTACTTAAGCAGTCTTTCTAAAGTAGTTGTCTCTGTGTTGATGTTGGGTAGCAGGATCCATCCCCATCCTAGTGATACAGAACTAAAAACTATGAGAATCAATAACATCATTAGCATATGATATTAATCAAAATCCAGGGAGTAAAAGGATCTTAGGGAACAGCTAACTTGGGGAAGAAGGTAAATGTTTTAGAGGACTAGGGTAGGAGGGGCCCAGTGAAGTTTAATTGGTTTTAAAAATGGGTAAAGATGTCTCTCTAGTTTTATGAGGTATGAATACATAAAGAAAACAGGGTGTACATACACAATGAAGTGCTTCTCAGCTGTAAATAAAGATGCATTTGAGTCATTTGTAGGAAAATGGATGGATCTTGATACCATAATACTAAGTGAAATAAACCAGACCCAGGAGATTCAATATCACAGTTTCTCTAATAGAAGAGATTCAAAATATAAATAAAGAGCAAAATAAAAAGAGAAATGATATAAAACAAAGTGGTAGGCTGAAAGAAGATAGGAAGAGGACCTGAGGAAGGAGAGAGAGAGGGGGCAGAGGGGAAGAGGGAAGTAAAAATTATCAACAAATGAATATATATATGTATATATATATAGATCGGTTCTCCAAGATGAATGCAATTATTAGGTATCACAATCAAAAACTAATTTTTTTAAAAAGATGATTGTCTAAGGAGATATTGTTTTTGTGAATGTGCAACTGTTGCTTGGGCAAATTTGAAATATATTTCCACAAGTTTTCTGCAGGAAATCATGCTGTTTTGTTTGGGAAAACCATTCTACAAGACTTCTTCTCTATGCAGACTCCATCTTGCAAAGAGCTTCTCTAGCCTGGAGGAGACCAATTATGATTTTTCTTTCATACTATATGGTCACTTTTCACCCAGACGAAAGAATATCAAGAATATAAACAAGTAGGCTTTGAATCTCTCACTATAAATCTGTTATGCAATTATGTAAATTTATTTATATCAGCTCAACTTAGTACATCTTCTGGTTCACAGAGTAAAAGTCAAACTTGTGAGAGACTGAAAATACAGACAATATACAAAAACAGAACTTTGACCCTGAAATCTGCAGTAACTTGCCTAGGACATCAATCTGTATCTGTAGTAAACAAACCAAGAAGCCACCCTGCTGTAAATCAAGCTCACAGGAAGTTAGATCGCTATCTCCACTGACAATCTAGAAAGCTAAACAGCTTTGTAACAGCTCAAAATAGCTTTAATTAATTTTTGTTTCCTTCTTTGATTTTATTTCCTCTTTCAACTTAGGACCCACCAAAGAGAGCCAAATACTGTATGTACCTCTAACCTATCACATAGAATATTCCACTTCCAGTCAGCTACTTCCAACTTCCCCAGGCCAGCAGCATCCACTATGGCTCGCCTAGAGCCTTCTGCTTTCTCCCCTACAAAGTTTTCTCCTTTTTACGTCTGCCTTTGAATCTCTGCTAAAACACAAGGGATGGTGGCTGACTCTCTGGCTATATAGCAAGCTCAGAATTAAATAGATTGGTGTTTCCTATTTCTTTATTTTTTATTTCCACACTTCCTGACTCCAGGTAATACTGATACTGTGACTTATGGTACAGAACTAGGGCTTGTTGAGGTCTATATGCCATCATCCTCAGAGCCCATGCCTTCTCCTTCTGATTTCTTCCTTCCCCTAGGGTGGTCCGAGTTCCCATAAGCTTTCATTACCACCTTGCCATTGAAGAAGGGCATCTAGTCTGAAAGCCATTCTCTGCCCCAATGTGACCTCTGCTGGGGAGACTTGATTGTTCCTTTTTTTTTTTTTTTTTGGTACCGGATATTGAACTCGGGCCCTTGTGCTTGCGAGGCAGGAGGCGGAACCACTGAGCGAAATCCCCAGCCCTGGCCATCGTTCTTGTTGTGTCTATTCCTGAAGTGTCCTCATAGCCCACTGCAGACTCTGGCTCTCAGAGTTTGTGCTTCACCTTGTCTTTGTTCTGACGAGTTTCTTTCGATGCACCAGCTTTCTATGTGTGCCTGTGGCTGCAGGGAGGCTCAGGACTCCCTGTGTCTTTCTACTCACCTTACTGGTATGCAAGGGACTCTGGAAGTCTGTTTTAGTCAGCTTTGTGTCACTATGACAAAATACCCAAGAAAAATTACTTAAATGAGGAAAGATTTATTTTGACTCATATTTTAAGAAAATTTAGGTGATGGTCAGTTCAGTTATTTGCAGCTAAAAACCCTGTAAAACACTTTCTTGATCATTGTTCATCTGTCATTCAGGGAGTCCATGGCTCCATTATAGAGACCAGGTCAGCTACTGATTACTCAGGAGTGTCCTGTCCTCTGGCTCACATCTGGAGAAGGAAGACACAGCAGTGAAGTGCAAAGACAATCAGCCACAAGACACCACCAGGTGGCCAGACACAGTGAGGGGTGACAAGTTACAATCAGGACTGATTTGAGAACCTATGCTTTCCTCTGATACTCAGAAATACTGTAGGTGCATTTTTTTACAGGCACACAGCATGGGAATGGGAGTAGGAGTGTCGACTGTGATAATAAAGAACAAGATGACAATCCCCTAATCTGGATACTTGAAGCAATTTGGGTTCCAGGAGACACTAAACTGAGGACATTCTCTCATTTAATCTTTTCAACAGCTCTCAGAAGTATTATCATACTATCATTGTAGGCATAAGAAAATTGAGATTTAAAGATATGAAGGCCCAGGTCATGCAGCTGGTAAGTTGTGGAACTATGACACAGAAAGGGGGGAAAATTGGGGAAAGAGAGAAGGAAGAGAGGGAGGGAGGAAGGAAGGAAGGGAGGGTGAGAAAGATCCAAAGTGCCTGCCATTCTTTTAAATTCATAGTGGATTTTTGCAGCTAAGAATATTTCTTTTCAGTAAAAATAAAAAGTATGTTAATAAAATAAAGACTCTAATGGGGTTGCAAGGTAGATATGTCCTAATACTTACCTGAAAGAAAAATGATAAATGAGAGGAACAGGACCTTCATCAGTTAGTGAGCTGCCACAGGAAAACACAGTGTTATCCCCAAAGCTTAGTTAATTCTTCCGTTCCTAGGAGCTAGGGTTTGCACTTTGTGTCCATAGTTGTTCATAACCAGCTCTCAAAGCACAACCTCCTCCCTGGTACTGTGATAATTCTTCAGCTTCGAGGCTGGACAGGATTTGTTTCCACCTGCAGGATGGCTTGACCTGGCTGACTCTTGCTGCTTTTCAATTTCCTTTGTCTTCTCAGATACCAATCTTCATCACATTCAGACCCTGTGGAAGTGATGAGTAGAGGTTTGTAGCGAGCAAGTATTTGTCTTACTTTAAAAGTTTGTTATTTTACAGTAGTTTTCAAAGTGTGGTCCCCAGACCAGCAGCATCAGGATCTCCTGGAACTAGCACAGATGCAAATTCTCAGCCCTGTCCCAGAACTACTGACTCAGAAATAGGAGGGTGAGGTCTAGCAATCTGCTGAATATTTCCAGGTTATGCTGTGGCTTGTTCACATTTGAAGACCACCAATTTAGAGTCCAGTATAAATCTTTGCCTTCCCTTTTCATTCTCCCTCCTTCCCTTCCCTTCTCTTCCCTTCCTTTCTTGCTTCCTTCCTTTCCTCTCTCTCCTTCCCTCCCTCCCCCTCTCATCCACATTTTATTAGTACAGATGAATGAGTTTCATTTTCACAGATTTGTACATACACAGAACATACATCCCCATCACACATTTGCCCTCCCCTCTAACTTCACAGGTTTGTTTTTGTTTCAATGTGTACATTTTGATCATATTTATGCCCTGTATTACTCACTTTTACACCCCTTTGCCTAACGATTGTCTCTTTTCTACTTTCTAGTCATCTTTTTTAGAGTCCATGAATTAGGGAGAACGTGTGATATTTGTCTTTCTGAGCATGGCTTATTTTGTTAAACATGATAATCTCAGCTATAATTCACATACCAGAGAAATCAGACCATTAAAGTGTACAATTCTGTTGGTTTTGGCATATCCACAAAGCTGTCCAACTATTTCCTCAACCACCTTTATATTTTTTATTACTTAAATTCTTTTATTGGTACTTGTAGGTATACAACACAATTATATTTCTCATTGGGAATTGTGCCTTTACATAATGCATCTTGGTTCTTATTTTTTCCCCATTCCTAGCCCTCCCTTCACCCGCTCCTCCCTTCCCTATTTACAAAGACCTTGTTTCCATTTTTTCCATTTCTCATCATTTTTCCTTTCCCTTCTTTCCTTTCCCCTGCCCCTCCCTCTACCCCTACCCCTTTGGACCTTTTTTCCTATTTTGCATTATCGATTATTCATTCTAATCATTGGTACATTTTAGGTATACAATATAATGACATTCATCATCGGAAATTTGCACCTTTACATAGTCTCTCTTGGTTCTTATTTTTCAACCTTGCCAAGCCCTCCCTTCAACCCCTCCATTCCTCCCTATTTACAAAGACTTTGTTTTTATTTTTCCACTTTCTCATATTAATTCCATTCCCTTCTTTCCTTTCTCCTACCCCTGCCACTTCCCTTTGCCCTTTGCTGCTTTTCTTCCTATTTCACATTATCTATTTTACCTTTTAGCACTTATTTACACTTTCAGTTTCTCACACTAGAGATACTATTCGGTATTTATACATGTGTGTCCTATTTATTTCACTTAAGAGTATTGCTTCAATGTGCATCCATTTGGCTATAAATGTCTCTAATTTCCCATTTCTTATGGCTGAGTAGTACTCCATTTTATAGAAAAAAACCACATTTTCTTTATACAGTCTCCAGTTGATGGGCTTTTGGGCTGTTTCCAAGTTTTAGTTATTGCAAATTGTGCTCCTGTGAACATGGGTGCACATATATCACAGTGGTATGATTCTTTTAATTCTCTGTGGAAGATACTCAGCAGGGGAATAGCTGGATCAAATAGGACTGACTTCCAGTCCTAGTTCTTTGACGTATCTCCATACTGATTGCCACAGTCAACCACCTTTAAAACATCACCATTATTTCAAATATGTAATGCAAGTGCCTTTCTCCTTTGTGTAAAATACCTATGTGTTACAATTCTATTTTTACCCATTCCTATTCTGAACTATTTTTCAGTAAAAAGCATATTGGAGGATTATGAAGCTTCTAATTGGGTAGTCTTTGTTTTCTGAAATATGTATGGTTTGTAAGCTATTTTTAGAGATTCCTGTTCATCAGACATCTGTTTCTGAGAGATTGTGACATCAAATGACATTTGGTTCAAATAATGCGATGAGTTTGCCCTAGCACCTTCCTTCTCTAACATGTCAACAAGGAGATTTGAGGCTTACAGGATGGAGACATATATATGCCCTACAGGTTGTCAGAGAATTCTAAACTAAAGCATATACATTTGAGGGGGATGGAAAGTGTTAGGGAAAGAATGTTGTGAAGACTTTCACCTCAATACTGGATGGCTGTACTGGAACCCCAATAATGCCAGGTGAGTAGTCTGCCTCCACACGTTGAGATTGTCCAACACAGAAATGCCAAAACCATGTCTTTTTCCAAGTGGACATTTATTTCTGAGCAACAGTGGATAAGAAACATATTGGTTAACTACATGGAACTCAACCCCATGTGATTTTGCAGTTTGGAAATTTATGATCTTAAAAACTACTGATGAAAAATTCAAGTACATTACATAAATTCATACTTGGATTTTTAAAGTGCTTTTAGGACCAGCCAGTGGATGGTGAGGACCTCAGCCACTTGGAGCCCTGTTCCGTCTCCTCACCCCACCCCCTGGTGACCAGCTTAGCCACATGGGCACCCACAAGCCCCCCACCCTGAACCCCACCCCAGCCCCTTGCCTCCTGACTGTGCCTCTTCCTGATTCCACACTATAGAAGCACAGGGGGTCATAAAGACCATTGTCCTGAGCTCCAGAAGATACAGCAGAAGTGAACAACAGAAAGAGGGCCTCTCTCAGGCTCCTTGATGAAAACTGAAGCCCACTGGAAAAGTGAAGAGAATCTCTGCAATAAAGGCACTCCAGACCACCATACTTGGTAAGTTGGAGGGATCATCACCTTCCATCAGAACCTTTACTATTTTAAGGGGAAGGGCAGCTGGAACCTGCAGTAGAACCTTGCAGAGTTCAACCCTGCAGAAGGACAGGGAGCTCAACCTGAGACTTGCAGCCAGAAATCTGCCTGAATCTCACGGGTCTGCTACTGGCTTGCTGAAACTCATTGACTAATATCTGCATACTGCTGCCCATATTGTCTGTTGTGACGGAAGAGACATACCCTGAAGGAGGCCCTTCATTTTTATTTTTGATTTGTTATTTTCAAAATATTTTTTGCTCTTATTTTTAAGTTTTATTTTTTTCTACTCTTTTCAAATTTTTTTGCTTCTTTTTTTTTCTTTTCTCTTTTCTTTCTCTCACTCATTCTCTCACTGTCCCACATTGTTCTTCATCTCCCTTTTTGTTCCTGTTCTGGCCCTAATTTGGATTTCTTCTTTCTTTTTCTTTTCTTCTCTATTTCCTTCTCTCGATTGTCATTAGCTTTAAAGGAAAGTAACTACAGTTTCTAGCCTCCCTACTATTGCTCTTAAGTTGTTCTGTTCTCATCTTTGTTCATTCATTCTGTCTTTTCCTCTTGTCTTCAACAGTTTCTTAGAGTTTGTGTGATCCTCCTGCGTCAAAACAGGATTGCAGTTACTGACCATGAAAACAGAGATTTCTTAAAAATGGTAAAGGATCACAAGAAATCAATCCAGCAGCTGCTAGAAGATGCAAAAAGGAATAACATAAGACTGATAGGGGTCCATGAAAAAGCAGGAGAAAGTGTAATTTACATAAAAAAAACCGTTCACAGAAGTAATAGTCGAAAACTTCCCAGACAGAGGTGGAGAATTGGACATACAGGTAAGTGAGGCATATAGAACTCCAACTAGCCATGATCAAAACATATCTACACATAGACATTTAATAGTCAAGATCCCAGAAACCCAACAGAAGAACAAAATCCTACAAGCAGTTAGAGAAAAGAAACAAATCACCTACAAAGGAAAGCCCATCAGAATCACAGCAGACTTCTCAACACAAACCCTCAAATCAAGGAGATCCTGGAGTGAAATATTTCAAGCCCTAAAAGAAAATAATTTCCAACCTAGACTGTTGTATCCTGCAAAATTATCTTTCAAAATCAGTGGGAAAATTAGATGCTCCCACAACAAAGAACATCTGAGAAATTTCATGAACACCAAACCAGCACTCCAAACAATTCTAAACAATATCCAAGAAAAAGACAATGAAGGTCACAACTCCATGAGGCCCAATGGAGGGAAGCCACCAGGCAAGGCAAAAAGCTAAAGGGAAAGGGGGAAAAATAAAAAATAAAAGAGCCAGCAACAGCAAAACATCATGACAAGGATGAGTCAATATCTATCAAATATAATCAATGTTAATGACCACAATTCAAATGGCAGAAAGGATTAAGAAGCAAAATCCAACAATATGCTGTATACAAGAAACACACCTAACTCAAAAAGAAAATCATAGACTGAAAGTTAAAGGATAGAAAACAGCTCTCCATGGAACAAGAATCCCCCCCAAAATAGGGGCAGCAATCTTATTTGCAGACAAGGTCAAATTCAAACCAAAACTAATTAAAAGAGACAAAAATTGTCACTATATCCCTGTGAAGGGAACAATCCAAGAGGAAGAGATGACAAACATAAATATATATGCACCAAATACAAATGCCCCCAACTGTACAAAACAAATATTAATGGACATGAAAAACCAAATAAGCACTAATGCAATTTTAGTGGGGGACCTCAATACTACAATATCACAGATAGACAGATCATCTAGAAAAAAAAATCAACAATGAAATTCTAGAACTGAACCAAGCTATTGAACAAATGGATTTAATAGATGTTTGCAGAGTGTTTCACCCCACAAAATCAGAATACACATTCTTTTCGGCTGCACACAGGTCATTTCAAAATAGACCACATGCTAGCTCATAGGACATGTTTGAGTGAATGTAAAAGAACTGAAGTTACCCCCTGTATATTATCAGACCATAGTACAATAAAATTGGAGATCAATAGTATAAGAAACCACAAAAGCCCCATAAACACATGGAAATTGAATAACACTCTCCTGAACAACCAATGGATCACAGAGGAAATTAAAGAAGAAATCTGACCAGTTCATACAAGTAAATGATAATGCCAGTACAACACAGAGAAATCTATGGGACACAATGAAAGCAGTTCTATGACAGAAATTCATAGCAGTAAATGCCCATATAAGGAAAACAGAGAGAGCTCAAATAAACAAACTAATGCTGAACCTCAAGCTCCTAGAAAAAGAAGAGCATGACGAACACAAAGCTCATACAAGAGAGGAAATTATAAAGATCAAACCAGAAATCAGTGCAATGGAGACTAAGAGAACAATACAAAAAAATCAATGAATAAAAGAGTTGGTTTTTCAAAAGAATAAAAAAAATAGATAAACCTTTAGCCAACCTTATCAAAAAAAGGAAAGAAAAGGCTCAAATCCATGCAATTAAGAATGAAAAAGGTGATGTGACAATAGA